ACCCAACACCCCTCTCACAGGCTCTTTGTTTGTGAAATGAAGGAAAGAGGATTGCTTGGAAAAAGAAGAAGAGCTAGGAGAATACCATGTGACAGAAAACAAAGGAAGAGGGAAAACTTCAGCCACTGCCAAAAGGAAAAGTAGGATGAAGTCCAAGAACAACAAAAAAACGACACCGATTTAACCACCGAGTGGAGCATGCTAACCAATGCCAAGCCTCAACAGGAGAAACGGTGAAGATGATAGTTACTCAAGAAGTCTTAGATGAAGGGTTTAAAGATGTATGTGGAGAATACAGCATAAAACTTTCTCATATTTGCCTCACCATAGCCACTGTCTGAAGAAGTAGAAGATCCAGATTCTTGCTTTATGTTATAAAAGTTCACTTTGGAGTCAGCTTGATCCTTCCCAAGTGACCCACTGGCTTCGTCTGTACTCCAGCTCTCCATGTGCTGTTGACTCAGGATGTTACACTTCATGCTCTCCATTACTGATATAATCATATCTGCAGCATAAAAGTGGGCATTTTCCTGCAGAAGATAAAATTATCGGTTAAAATATAAGCATAATCAACTTTTTTTTCCATTGAGAGGTATAAGATTAAAAAATTGAGAAGCTTTATTTAAGCGGAGTTATTGCATAAGTGTTCATTTAACTGAATTATCATATGTCATTATATAAAGCATAGCTTGTATCTTCCAGAGACACCACTATAATCAACAGACAACCCAAGCTGAACTCCCTGTGATATAAAATCCTAGGTTGGTGGTGGCTCTATGGTTGACATCACTCATCAGTCATGGCAGACTTTCCAGCTGAGCACTGACACTGCCTCAGAACCCTTCTCAGCTTGGGGCTTCTAGCAGCCTCTACCAATCAAATGCTGAAATGAAACCTATTTGTCATGCCTTATCAAGTGAAATTTCCAAATTTAAATCAGAACAGTGCTATCTAAGGGATTAACACTCTCTGTGGTTTAAAAAAGAAAAGAAAAAGAAGATATAGTTACCTTTTCTATATCAACAGGGAACACGAACGTTTCTTGTGAGAAGGAATTCAAAGAAATGCTTCTTCTACTGAATTGAACAGCACCTGCCAATACAGCAAGTTATTAAAAATGGAGCAAAAGAAGTTCAAAGATTATCTAAGAAAACAAAACAATTCTAGGGAGTGGCTTTTAAGTTTCATTTAAAAAAAATAGCGCAATTGTAGAATAAACTAGTATGTCAAAAGAAGAATGACCTTTTGGTGGTAGGACTTGCAGATATTGCCTAATGATAATCATTTCTATGAGAGGCTATTGGAGTAACAAAGAAGACATGGAAGAACTACTGGAATGAAGAAGACCAATGAGGCAAAGAGGGTAGAAAGAGAAGAGGGTCATGGAAACTACCTAAAGGAGAGAGAGAGAAGAGTGAGAAAGAACAGTTTAGAAGAAAGGCATAAGAATTATGGAATCACTTTTATAACTCACTGTAATTGACCTAAAATTTCCTGTCTGCAGAAACAAAATATCTGAAAAATGTCAGATTTGCTTCCCTAAAACTGTCTTTCTCTAATCAAAAACAGAAAGAAACTACAGAGTGTATATTCTGCTGACTCATCCACTCTATACCCTAAGCCACTCCATTACTGGCAATGAACACCAGCAAAACACGAATGATTTGTCATGGTATTTTTATTGAAGCATTTAAGGTAAAACATTTTTGTGAGAGCCATAAGAACTGGATTGTCCCAAACTGCTAAATTAGAACAAAATGCTACAGATGTCTTGATGATTATATACAACTCTCAGGTGACAGAGAGACAAGCAGATTACTCAAATACCTTGCCTCATCTTCAAGAAAATGACTGTTCCATGGAAAACTTTGGACCTCTTAGCTTCAGAAGCCATCTGGGGTAGGCAAACTTCTTCTGAAAAAGACTACTAGGTAGTAAATACTGTAGGATCTGAGGTCCATACAGCATCTGTCCCAACTACTCAGTTCTGTCACTGTAGCTATAAACAAAACAAAGCTTTATTTGTAAAAATCAGGAAGCTGGCTGGATTTAACCCTAAGCTCAGTTTTTGGACCGAGTATAGAGGAAAAAGCAGAGAATGGGACAGTGTGGATTCCAGTTCCAGTTCTCCATGCACCAGCTGTGCCATCACATTAAAATTTCCTCATCCCTTAAATTGGCATAATTATCTATTAGGAGATTAAAGGAGCTAAGAATGCGAAAGTGCTCTGTAAATATGTAGATCCTATGCAAAAGAAGGAAGAGCAGAATTGTTTCTGACAGCCTCAGGATGTGCTTACCAGCTTAAAGTAGTCTTTACCTACCACATTATCCAGAAAAGAAAACCCTGCTGCTGTTACTTGAGATGCAACAATCATAGGAAAATTCCATGACCTAGTGACAAATGCCTTTCTCACCACTGTTGCCCCATACTAAAGAAAGAAAGAACTCAATCACCCAGGACTTTATTTTTTAATCCCATGGAATGAATTCCCTTACCAAGTTTAAGAGATACTCACAAAAGACTGAGTTGTTTTTAAAGGTACTTAGCGAGATCGCTGGGAATCATTGTCTTTGGACAAAAGGGGCTGGGGTACCTGTTTTTTACCCAGGAAAAGGACAAAGGTGGTACATATATAAAATAGAATATTATTCAGCTGTAAGAAGAGATGAAATACTGCCATTTGTGACAGGAATGGACCTCGAGATAATCATGCTAAGCAAAATAAGTCAGATAGAAAAAGTTGAAAACCACATGATACCACTTATATGTGAGATATAAATCTAAAAGCAATAAATCAACATGACAAACAAATAGAGACTCATGGATATGGACAGTAAGTAACTAGTGGTTACCAGAGGGTGGAGGAAGGGAGAAGGTAAATGGGGTAAAAGGGGTCAAATATGTGGTGACAGAAAGAAAGAAATCTAACTATAGGTGGTGAACACACAATGCAATATATATATGACTTACTGTTGAATCGTACACTTGAAACTTATGGGATTCTGTTAATCAGTGTCACCATAATAAAAAAAAGAAAAAAAGGAAAGATAAAATTTCATTGACTTTGACCTAGAACTATTCTGTTATATTATAGAACTATTCTATTCTATTTTAACAGAAATAGAAATTAACTCAAAGCATGAATATAACAATGAATATTTAAAAATAAAATAAGCATGCTACAAATTTTAAGAACAATAGCTAATTTATTGACTCTTTAGTGGCATTTTGCATGGATTATCTCCTTTCAGGTATTCCAGTATTTTAGGAATATATTCATTACCTCATAGACGTAGAAGCCCTTGTTTTAATTTAAAAAAAAACAAAGAAAGAAAAAGAAAAAGGTTTTGTATAGACTTTGGGGAATTGTGGTTACTGTTTTTTAAATCTTAGTTATTTTCTAGTCACACTCTGTTCAGGTACATAGGTGAAACAAGTTCATTTCCTCGTAAGTACTGGTGTGCAACAGAGCCCACTCTGTCTGGAAACACCTTCCACCAGTATAGCAAAGTGAGAGCACTTACAATGCTCTCCCTTGCAGACAATGAGTGGAAGGAAGTTCCTGATGGCCCACACCAGCTCAAAGATGGCAGATGGCACTGATTATCAACTAAGCTGAGTTAAGATGACATTTCCCTGCAGTCTAAGGAGAAAGGAAATACTTGATTTCACCATCTATGATGGTGCAGGTGGCTGGGCCTAAAACTATATTAAATGAGCTACTGCACTGGCTTCTGGTCAAAGTGGAAACCCACGATCTTTTTTTCTTAAGAGGAAGACAGTAAGACAGGCTTTAGACCTTTAAACACAGACAAAGCAAATGTGTGAACGGACAGGAATGAAGGAAGTCCCCGACTAAAGTTACCTTCACCAGTGGAAACTGGCAGGTGGGAAGGTGTGAAACAAGCACTGTCAGCCTCAGAATGTGGGGAAGTTGCCAAAATCTTGGAGCGTGTGAACACAGACATCCAAGGAGAGCATCCTGGGAGCACTGTCCGCTCTTGTGTTGCAGTAAAAGAAAAGCTGTTGCTCTTTCCACCTGAGCTTCCCACGGAACCCACAGTGTCCTTCGACAATACTGTCTCCACCAGAGAGTATTCAAGAGACAATGGTGAAGGGCCCAAGGGAGAGGCGCCATCCCCCACAAAGTAGCTGCCACTGTTGCCCACTGTTGGCATTTGGAGGGGCAAATCCTGCAGCGGTTGCTGCACACACTGGGGGTTAATCCAGGTAGCTTTGTGCCTCGTGAACCTGAGGTCTGATTGGCAAGCGGGGTGGCCAGTGTCCAGGAGTCTGGGTGAACCATCAATGCTGCCAGGGTATTCACTGCCCCCTTCCCAGGGGTCCACAAGAGAATCCTCCCGGCCCGAAGACTGTGACACCATCTTTCCAGGCTCAGGGCTGATGTAAATTCCGTTGTTCTACTAGATTAAGGCCTTGAACTCACTATGTGGTCGGCTGGAGTGCTGGAGAGCTTATCTGCAGTGAGCAAGAATCATTCAAGATAAATAAGGGCTCAATCATATCTTTAACTCCAAATCCCTTTAAGGAGGCAAAAAAACAAAAACAAAAAATAAAGTTTGCACTTCACCCTAAACAACAAAATATATTCTCTTGAATTTATAAGACAAACAAACATACAAACAAACGAACCAGCCATAAACTAGCAGCCAACATAGGGGGTATTGGGGTAGGAAAGGGTTTTCAAAGCATAAAAATAATTGAAAGTTATTGTTATTATAAGGGTAAAGTCATATGAAGATACTGCTAATAAAACATATAAAATATAAAACATCCACGCATTATTCCAATAAAATTAAATGTCAAACCCAAAATAGGAATACAATCTGGAAATAAAGACACATTTTCATAGTTTATTTTTATTTAGTTTGTGTTTCAACAAAGTAGACAATGGCCTGTGAGACTGCAGACAATAGCACTAAAAACTTTGTTTCATGTAACTTACATTAGCTTATAATACTTACATTATAATAACGATATAAATTTATGATTAGCTTATAATATCTAAAGAACACAGTATGAATCTAGAATGTATCTTAAAAATGGTCCGCTCACTTTAAGCTTAGTTTTTAGCTTTAGTAAATAAGATAATGATTAAAATGTCAAGAGCTACACAATGAGAAGCACTCTCATCACTGTAATTACAGGCCCAGCACATGTAATCTTCTCCCACTGTCCTTCACATTGTAAAGCTCAAAGCAACCATCAACAGCAAAAGCAAGGTTAGCAAGGTGAAGGGGTAGAGACAGTCTGCTTAGGCGAGTTTAGCCTAAATGAAGGGTAGAGTACAAAGGTATGGAGTGAAGGTGAGTGTCTAGTCCGTTCCAGGGCTTTCTATACCATTGTTATGTATGTAGATGGCTCCCACATGGATCTCTGCCTATTTGACATCTATCCAGCAGGCATGGCTACCTGATATCCAAAAGGAGACACTGATTTACCCCAAACCTGTTCCTTCCAGGTTTTCTTCATCTCAGGAAACAGGCCTATAGTAGCTGACACTACAAATCTAGGAGTCATCTCTGATCCTATCTTTCCATATCTGTAACCCATTAGCAAGGTTTTAACTATAGCTACCACCCAAGTCTAAGTCACCATCTTCTCTCACCTGGATCTCCTGCTATCTTCTCAATGGGTTTCCCTGCTTCTACTTGTCTAGTTATAATCGGGAGGTATTCAGAGAGATCTTTTATAAACCTAAGTCAGATTCCCCTAATCAACACTCCGCCACCCCACACCGACTCCGACAGAGTCCCATCAAATCTAAAATAAAATCCAAACTTCTTACCTTGTCCTTACAGCATGACATGTTCCTACCTTGCAGATTTCTCTTACTTTTCTTTGTCCTAACCACGCAGCAAGGTTTTGAGTCCTACAAGCTTTTGCATACCCTAATGATGCTGTTCTAGTCCCTCTGCCTAGAATGCTGTTTCCCCGAATGATCACTCATCTGGCTCCTTTCTATCTTATTGCTTGCCTTGGTTTATGAATTACTTCCTCAAGAAGTCTTGCCTAACTACCTCTCTTAAAGTGGTTCCCTGGTTACTCCATATCACATCACTTCCTGATATTTTTTTGGCTCCTTACTGTCATTCCTCTCCACCTCCCTGACTATAAGCTCCATGAGAGCAGGGGCCTTGTCCTTGGTAAGGTCACAGAGTTGCACACAGGGGTTCAATAAAAGTTATAGACTAAATGAACAAATCCAACAAAGTAGAAATAAAATCATGAGCTAGAGAAACAACTTCTATGGTAGATATAACTGCTCTATTACTGTGGCAGCATTATTCATATAAGGATAGAACTAAATCCATTTTTCCTAAAGATATGAAAATTTTCTCATCCAATGCTTACAAATAGACCAAAAAAAGATACATGTGAAAATTCTATGAAAAATCTTTGGGTTTTCTTGATTCTAGGTCATACCTTTTGGATACAGATATGTATATACGCCATCCTGAAAACACTGGACAACCTTCAAATCACCATTCACAAAATGTCACAGGATACGATGGCAACTGGCAGAACTTGCTACCCCGAAGTGCTCATCTTCCTTTTCCTGACTGCAAATCTCACCTTACACCCCAATTTCTCTTCGCCACAAGTCTTTTTCCTCTCCAATAATTTGGGGTGTTATAATTACAAAGGAAACCATGACTATGTTTTTATAAAATGCCAAAAACACAGAAGCCTAGAGTAAAAAGTGAAGCACTCTTATTGCATCATCCACCAACCCTACTTCATTCCTAGGAATAACATTGCTAACCGTTTTATTCCTTCCAGGTCTTTTTCTATGAATTAATGTACATATGTCAGATTGAAGATATGCTTTGTTTTCTATACACACACATGGGATTATATTGGACATACTCTATAACCTACCTTCTTTTACTGTCAATAATATGTTCTGAGGGTATATATCATGTCATTCTTCTTAACTGTCTTACCACTTTCTATAGTATAAGTGTATCGTAATTTACTTACCCAGATTCCTATTGATGGAAATTTATTTTTAGTTTTTCACTATTAAAAAATATACAGCAATGAACATCTTTGTTCATATTGCTTTTTATTGGCTTTCATTTGCCAGATCTTTTCTCTTATTAGTTCTAATTTTAGTTCTGCGTCCATAGCTCATGCTAACCTATTTTTATGTCATATCTGTTTTTGTGGTGGAAGATGACAGATGTGAAATCATATGAAAAACACAAACCTTCAAACAAGTGATAAGTAATAGTGATCCATGTGTTTTTTTTAATAAACAGATTAAAGTCAATAGTTCAAAGAGAATGATGTCATTTATGAGCCTCCTAGATATGGAATTGACTTAATTGCATTGAGCAAAACCAGACTTCCTTATAAAAAGTAATTTTCCGAAGCAAGTGCTTGCTCCACTTCCTTCTAGAAAGGTGTTCTTGCTTTACACAAATAACTAGCATCTGCTGGCTTTGCCAGATTATAAAATGAGAACATTCTAGAGCTGGAATAGGCCCACAGAGATTAAAAGCCATGTCCAAGGTCACAGCTGGGTACTGGCAGAGAGAGGATGACAAGCCAAGTTGGAGCATAAGTTTCTCTAAGAGGCAGATTGACACACAGAGGAGACAGCAATGATTGAGAACAAAGTCCAGGCCTTAGTGATAGAAGGTCAACATCTCCATTTCTTGATCTTCAGATCAGATCATCTGTAAGATACCGTGGTATAGTTTCTTGTTGGTTGCTTGTTGCCACATTGCTTGTAGTCTGTTAGCTATTCAATTGAACAAATAGCATTGTTTTTGTTTTGGTAGCACTGGGGTAACAGTAGTGACTAAAATAAGCTTCCTGCCATCCAGTTTACATTCTGGTAGAGGGAAGATAGTGACTAAACAAACATTCACATATTTCAGGTACCGACAGGCAATAAATAGGTAATGTGGGTCTAAGCAATACTTGGCATCTTCTCAAAGTGCATCTCACCGTCACGAATGGGGTCCTTTGAATCAGAGATGCAAAGATATGTACAAAGATAAAATCAATTTTCAAAAACATTTTAAAGGTAGAGAAATCAAGTTGTAAAGTTTACTGTCATTTCTATTGAGAGTTTCCTATTGAGGGGAAGGTAAGCACAGGTCAGATTACCAGTTAACAGATACACAGCAGCAAAAGTCCTAGGGACAAGAAGAGACCACAGAACTCCCCTGCCAAGTCATTCATTCTAGGCACATCCCTGCCCATCCGTCAGTGGTCCCATTGAGAATGACTGCTTCACTAGAACCACTACAGCCATGGTATCAGCTAGAAAGATGCAACCTTTTTAAGAGGGGCAGGTGACTCAGCAAGGCATGAACCAACATGACCTGTATAGAGAGCCCAAAAAGTCTTTCAGACCGTAAGCAGCCAGCGCTTTGATGGTAGATGAGCAGCTTTAGCTTCTTAACAATGTTAAAGTTACTCCATGACGAGGCACAAATAAGATTTAGGATTTCATCTGCCCCAAAACTAAACCGCTAACTGAAGACACGAATGGGACCATCAGAGTGAAAACTCATCTTAAATTTTACTTTCTCAGTGAAGCCTTCCTGGTCACCCTATAAGTAATGGCAACTGTCCCTCCCCAAAAGTTCCTGTCTCCTTCCAAATCCTTATTTTTCTCTTTACTCCTTAGCACTAATCCTCGTTTTATTTAACCTCAATGACTAACACCCACTAGAATGTAAAATCTCTGAGGGCAAGTTTTAAAAAAAAAAATTATTTTGTACACTACTCTGTCCCCAGAACCTAGAAACAGGGCCACAAATAGGTACTCAATAAATATATTCTAAGTATATGAATGAGTGAACAAACGAATGAACAATACATAAGTATGATTATGTTGATTATTCCTATTGTCCAAGAAAGGAAGAAAAGATGTCACCCTTTAGAAAAAATCAGAGGTCACAGCCTAAAATGTCTGCCAACCATTTCCTTAGAATAAAGGATGTTAGAGAATAGAAGTCACAAACGAGAGTTGAGGGTGAAAGGTAAAATTCATTTCTATCAATTTTATGGTGTCTTACTAAGCACCCCCACTCTCAAGCAATAAACAAATGCAAGCAAACAAAGAGTAAATGGATCTTTAACCATAGCATGTGAGCTATTTGGTTAACACAGTTCCCCAGAACCTCTTCCCCTCTTTTTGTATCTACTTCCCTTCACGCTTTGACTTTAAACAAAGACTAACATCCTCAAAGACTCAACAGACTAACACTATCATAACATATCAAACAGAAACCATTTCAATGCTCAATAATGTGATGCCACAAAGAGTGAACTATAACTTTCACACAGCTGCACCTTCACTGCAGCAAGTGAACACTGTGTTCTAATGCTAAAACCTTAGGAAGGAAACATGTTGCAATAGTGGCTTCACAAGGACTCTTCTAAGACCAATTTAGCCTTTGGCAATGACCCTTA